AGGAAGTGGGGGAGGGGCTGGTTCGAAATGTGGAGCCCCCAGTTCTTTTGGGGGGGCATTGTCCCCTTTTTGTGCGCTCCTGAAGTGTGGGGTTGCAAACCCCGTTGTCCATAAACAGGGAATGCCCCCCCACTTGCCCATTCCCCACAGGGAATGCCCCCCGAGAGTGTTGCTCGGTCTCTTCCATCATCCGTGACCAAGCCCTCCCCCGCCCTCTTGGATTAAAGATCCCATCGTCCCCATCCAGACCTACTTCCTTCAAACCTGGCGTTCCCAAGATGTGCTGGGTTACAACTCCCATCATCCCCAGCTGGGCCTCCCCTGGCACTCTCCTGATGCCCTGGGCTGGAACCCCCATCGTCCCCAGCCAGGGCTCCCCATTCCCTTCTTCTCTCCAGATGTGCTAGGCTGGCACCCCCATCATCCCCAGCCTGGGCTCTCCATCCCCTGGCCCTCTCCTCGATAGCAGGCATAACATTGATACGAAATACAACTTGATGGAGAAAATGGAGCAATTTAGGGGGGCAAGAAAAGGATTTAAAAGAAAGTAGTTTGGGGAGGGAAGGAGAGAAAGAGGGCAGCTAAAGCATCTTGCTAAGATTTGCAGAGAAGCTAAAAATAAATGGGTGGGGATATAATTAGATTTTCCCCCCATTCGGTTAAAGGATGACCTGAGCAGGTCGCAGCAAACTTATCCTGGTCTTTCATGACGTGGTGGGGGAATCGGGGTCCAGCAAAATCGGAGGGAGGATGGGAGGTGGGTGGATGGGAGAAGAAGCAGGATTTGGTTGAGGTACATGGAGGATGTGGTTTGACTCTCAAGAGCGGGGAGCACTAAGAAATCAATAGAAAGAGGCAGGGGGTCTGCAACTGAGCATGCGAACACAAGATACGTGCGTGACGTGGCTAATACTTCAGACTCAGCAGGCTGGGGGTGGTAACCTGGATACAACACCAGGAACTGGAGGCTAAAGAATTCACAGAAGAGCAATAGAACTTCCACGTCCAGAAGCAGTATATCTCTGAGGACCAGCTGGCGGAGAAACAAAAGGCAGGGAAAGGGCTGTTGCCTTTGTGTCTCGCTCACAGACAAACCACCCGCTTTCTGTCTGGCTGCTGTTGGAAACAGAAAGCCGAAGGACGATCTGGTGGAGCTGTTTATACCTTCTTCCTCTTCAGTCGGCGCAGAACGCTTTTGCCCCCCGTCTGTCTCAGGAGGACCGCTTCCTGTGCACCATCAGGCTGTGTAGGAGGGGTGGAGATCAGCCTGGTGGCTCACGTCTTGCCTGTAGAAAGTCCACCTCCAGTCCTTGGCTTCCCCAGCTAAAAATATTGGGCACCAGAACTAAGAAATGGCCTTGCTCCGAGAACCTGAAAAACCACTTTGAGTCAGAAGAGCTGAAGGTGGGCTCTCTCGCTGAACATCTCCAAGCCTGAAGACTTCATCATCCGCTCTCTCCGCTTGCGTCCTCCCTGGATTGCCAAATTCTCTGCAGGCCTCTCTGATCTGGCAAGCTTTTCTTTCCCTTCTGATTGCTCCATCTTCGCTCTTCAAGATGGACTGAATCGGAAAGTCCAGCATTTGGTGACATGTCAAGCCGGGGGCAGTTGTCTCATCAGGATGTGACCGCTTGGATTCCTTTGAATAGATCGGACGTGAATGGACTAAAAACACTGTTTCCTTGTATAGCAAGTTGTGGTGGTTCATCTTTAAGATTCCCAGGCCTGGTGGTCAGGAATTGCAGGTGTCGAAACTGAAAATAGCTGGAGGGAGCCAGGTTGCTTCCTCCTGTTTTATCCAGTTGCGATAAATGTTACTAAGGTAATGCAAGATTATGAAGTGCTCTTGGACAGAACAGTTTGTTGTCTCATCTTAGCTTTAGCTCAAATGTGGCTTCGGCGTCAGAGATGTCCAGAAGGTTATCAGACTGCCATATTGAATGGGACCGAACGGGGAAAAAAGATTAAATACGTGGCTGGAATGCAATTGTGTTCATTGCATTTAAGATCCTTCGAGTACAAACTGAATTGTGTTTCGGTTCTGTTTCCACACGCTCTGTTTTGGAGCGGGACTCGGCGCGGCCCTCAAAGGGTCCCTTCAGTTTGGTGAAGTTGTAGATTTCAACTTAAAACTCTGGGAAATTTAGCATGCTGTCGATTGCGTCGGCTAAGGAGCACGAAGAGCAAAAAATTAACCAGAATGTTGAGACCCTGTTCAGTCCCACTCTGCTTTCACTAGATGATTCCAGGTTCACTCTCATTAAAACTGTCCTTCCCCAACTTGGACTCTTCCAGCAGTGTTGAACTACCACTCCCATTATTCCCAGCCAGTCCAGCTGTTGCGAGGAAAGGGAACAGTTAGCGCCTTAGTTGGGATTCCAGCCCCAGTGCCAAATTTCATAGCCGCACCACATTGTTTCAAAGAGAAGTGGGCTTTTCCAGAATGGGGAGGACATTCTGAATGTGTGTGTTGGGGGGGAATGAATTTGTCCTTGGGGAGCAGTAGAGGACTTTGTGGAATCACTGGGAGAACCAGAAGGGGTTTTTGAACAAGGTTCTTCCAGTGGAAATACATTTATGAGAAAGTAGCATTATTGTTTTTATTGTTATGGTTGCACAGTCAGCCAGATG